TAATTTTTACTATTAATGTCAATACTTTTGCATATTTCATTTAGTTATGCAGTTGATTTAGAGTTGATATTTTGAATATGGTATGAGGTAGTAGTCAAGATTTATTTTTACTTGTATGGCTATACAGTGGACTCAGCATAGTGTATTGAAAACACCACTCCTTCCACTTCGCTGCAGCGACATTTCTCAAAACAGTCCTGTGTTGCCCAGCCAGTGTTGCTCAGTGGTTGAGCATCAACCCGTGAACCAAGATGTTGCCGATTTGATTCCCAGTCAGGGCACATGCCCAGGTTGCAGGCTCTATCTCCAGTGGGGGCCATGCAGGAGGCAGCAGATCGATGTTTTTTTCTCAAAAAAAAAATCTACCGTTCTCCCTTCCCCTCTCTCTAAAATCAATAAAACCATATGAAAAAAACCACAAAGCGGTCCAGTATGCCTGTATGTGCAGATATATGTTCTGGCTTCTCCTTTGCCCAAATAACACTTAGTTCTTTAATGACAAGTCTTACTATTTGACAGAACCTCAGAACCTCTTCCTCCACCTTCATGAATGTTTTGGCTATTCTAGAACCTCTGCTATCTATGCTAATAAAAGGGTAATATGCTAATGAGGCTGTACATCTTCTGGACGACCTTCTGGACAACCTTCCTGACAAAGTCGGGCCTGGGCGAAGTCACCTGCCTGTGTTCCAGGGTGCCAGCAGCTGTGGCTGCGGGCCAGGCAAAGCCAGCTCAGGTCCCAGGTGCCTTGCCTGTGGGGAGGGAGGGAAGCCCGGGTCCCGCACAAGGCAGAGGTGGTTAGGGGCGATCAGGTCAGCAGGGGAGCAGTTAGGGGTCATGAGGCAGGCAGGCAGAGGGGTTAGGTATGATCAGGCAGGCAGAGGTGGTTAGAGGCTATGAGGCAGGTAGGCAGAGATGGTTAGGGGTGATCAGGTAGGCAGGCAGGTGAGCGGTTAGGAACCAGCGATCCCAGATTGGGAGAGGCAGTCGGACATCCCCTGAGTGGTCCCAGATTGGAGAGGGTGCAGGCTGGGCTGAGGGATTCCGCCTCCCCCCCCCTCCTGTGCACAATTTCGTGCACCAGGCCTCTAGTTTCATATAAACTTGGAACCAGATGGTCAATTTTTTGAAAAAAAAAAGAAAAGAAAAAGGAAAAAAGAGAAACCTCCTGGGATTTCATTGAGATTGGAGTGATCAATTTTGAGAGAACTGACATCTTTACAATACTGAGTCTTTGAAACCACAAATAAACTATCTCTCTCCATTTCCTTAGGTCTTCTTAATTTCTCTGTACTATGTTTGATCTTTTTTTAGATAGGGGCTTGCACATCTTTCATTTTTGATAAGTACGTGATTCTCTTTGATACTTTAAAAAATCACATATTAAAAATTTTATTTTCTAACTATGTTGCTAAAATATAAAAATGCTTAATTTTTAAAATGTTGACCTTGTATTATAATCTTGGTAAACTCACTTTTTAATTCTTATAATGTATGTACCAATTCCTTCTTGAATGATTATTTTATTTTCATTTTGAGTCTTGAAACTCTTAACTAATTAAGTAATGAATTAATTAATCAACTGCCTGTTGCACTTGCTAGGGTCTCTGGTTCAATCTGAAGGAGGCAGTGAGAGTGGGCACGCTTGTTTTGTTCTTCAGCACAAAGAGAAGTCTCTCTCTCCATTTCTTTCTATTTGTAAATGCTGTTGAAGTACTTGTAAGATGAGCATATTCCTGGCTCAATATGTAAAGATGACAATTTCTCTCTGCCATTAATGTATCAGTTTTAAAGAGTCCAATTTGAAATCCCCAGAGTATATTTCATAGGCCTTGATTAACTGATTAAAAAATTATCTAAAGGAGAATGTATATATGCAAGAATTGCCAAGGAATTTTCAGAGAGAGAAAACAGTGAGAGGGTTTGGGCTAGATATTAAAACACATTTGTCTTAGGTCAGCTACCCTAGAAGCAGAGCTGAAGACAGGGATTCTTGTTCAGGTATTTGGAGGGGGTGTGTGTCTTTGAGAGAAGCAGGACTAGGTAAGGGAAACATGTTAATCAGTCATGTGGCCTCAGCAAGAGTTTAGCTTCAGTCTGATCCTATGGAGGAAGCTCTGGCTGACAAATTGCATTTACAAAATGAGTCCTATTTTGATGCAAGGGGACTGACCTGTCCTTTAACATCCTTATGCCAATGACTCACTCCTGAGGTGTGCCCTGGTGAGGGTGGGGTGCTGTGTATTTCCTGGCAGGTGGTTCCCATTTAGCTGAGAGTCATTTGACAGAAGGGCAGCTGTGAGTTATCAGCCAAACCAGTAACTGGGTGATAGAAACACTGGCTGGTTAAAAGAATTGGGGTGGGACCACAGCAGCATCCACTACATTATAGGCTTGGAGACAAAAATGCTATAAGCCAGTATTGGGAACAGACATGCAGAGGTTGTGTCAAACTTGGGATGGGATGTGGAACTCATTACTACTCTGATTCAGGGCTTAATTAGCTTCTGTCCTCACTCATAAGCATAGAAACAATTTTTATAGTTTCTAATTATTAACATATCTACCTTTAGGACAATTTTGGTACTAGAAGGGGCTGATAAAATAGAAGGGGAAGGGATCCAATGCTGGAAGGTTTTGATGACATTGAAAATGAGGGTTAGAAAGATCAAGGACAGGCATCTGTAACCAGATGGAGAAATTTTGGTGTCCAGTTAAATTTTGGTTACAGCAGGCGTAGTCCCTGGTGATGGCAACACCCACAGTGCGGCCACGTACATGGGCTTCCAGAGGAGAGGGAGGCGAGAGTCAGGGAAGTGAGAGATGCTGCTGACCTAGACTGTGAAGATGTACAGAGGGATGCTTAGGGGGACTGAAGACCACATGCCAAGCATCAGGGTGCGAGGTTATGGTTGGGGACAGGGTGGCACAGGGAGATGTTGTAAGTCTGAGAAGGGGACATTAGAAGTGACTGAAGGAAGAATAGCTTGGAAGAAGCAAGAGAAGAGAGGGATGACAAATGGGCACCTTGCTTTCTGATCTCAAGATTTGAATGACTTCCCTCAGTGAAGACTTTGTGGGGTGTGGTGGTCTCAGGGAAAGCCAGGCATCCTTGTGAAGACCGGGTGATAGAGAAAATGCTTTAGGAAGATGCAGAGAGCAAATGGAAATAGCTGGGCATTGGAACAGGGAGTCTAGGGTCCCAGAGAAAGGGATTAGAAGACATACTGATAGGAATACTAAAACATAAAACAATTGCCAACTCAATGATTCTATGCCATTTAAAAAATGTTTATTTATTGGGGGTGACAGTGATTAATAAAATTATATATATTTCAAGAATACAATTCTGTGATACATCATCTGTATATTGCATTGCGTGTTTACCACTCAAAGTCAAAACTTCTTCTGTCACCATTTGTTTGACCCCCTTTACCCTGTACTACCCTCTACCCAACTTCCTTTTGGTAATGTGTCTATGAGATTTTGTTTGTTTTTTCATTCATTGGCATCCAGGGTTGACTCCATAACTAAGTGCTAATTCTTTCCAAACCTTCCTCAGTTTGCACATTTATCGGAGAGTTAGAAAGCAAAGTTAATTATGTACAGCTTTGAGTTTGCTTAAAGAGATGTAATCAAAATATTTTTTTAAAAAGCAAACTGTGAGTATTGAGATTGGCACAGGCATCAGCCAGCCCTTGGAAGCCGTATCGCTGAGATAAGTTGCTTCCTTAAGCAGACATTCACGTGAGAGGGAAGAGCTTAGATATCCTTCTAGGATTCGCTGCTTGGTAATGTGATGAATCTCCACACCTTCAGTCCAAGCACTGCTTCCTTTAATGAACTAGTAGAGCCAATAAGGATGCCCCAGGATTGGTAGGAAAAACCGGAATTTGGAGGTAGAACTTTCTGTTGAGGATTTTGTTTTAGTAGTGTTGTTTTCCTGAGTTCAGTGAGCTTGTTGGATGTTTATGAATTATTGATGCTTAGCCCAATGTTTGCTACACAATAGATTCTCAAAAATGTTTATCAAATGAATTAAAGTGAGAGACATCATAATTAATAAACAGAATACTTGAGAACAAGTGTGTGTGTGTGTGTGTGTGTGTGTGTGTGTGTGTGTGTGTTTGGCTGCCTGCCCAAACTTTTCTCATGACGTTTTTTCACTACATTTCTAGCAAGATAGTTTTTTATATTTTCATTTTCTTCTTTGCATTTGGCATCCCCCAAATAATGCGACCGCAAATTTAACTTAATTACAGAGACAGGGCTTGTCAGGGCTTAGCTCTCTACATCTGTGGTAAGTAAGTATGCATTGATTCAGAGCTTCCTGTGGCCGTAAACCACTGGTTCCCAACCTCAGCTGCCTGGGGTGATACAAATTCTGCTGCCTGGTTCCCACCCCAGCGATGCTGACTCAGTGCGTGGGGTTTGGGCATAGATCTTTTTTTTTCTTCCCTTTAAGTTCCCCAGGGGATTTTAATGTGCACCCAAGGTGTAGAACCAGTTTTTCTCAGAGGATCCCTGATATCATTAGGGTTGAATTCCCTCTCAAAGTGTCCCCCTGCTTGGGTAATAATTCATTTAACTTGGCTGTTCTAATGCTGCCTGTGGTCCTGGGTTGAGACGCTGAATTTGGTTTAATTTTGCTTTCTGGTTAATTTAGATTGCTTTATACTTGGCTTCCCAAAAGAATTTCTAAGAGATTTTTGAGAAGTGAGAAATTGCAGCTCTCTTCTTCGAAGTCTCTTATCTGAGCTACAGTTCACAATGCAATTACTGACAACTTCAAGTGCATAACTTCATGGCCATGCAGGACATAGAAAATGCAATCCTCAATTTTGTCATAAACCTTGCATGCTAATTTTATGAGGGACATTATCATTGAGAAACCAAAGGTTGTTTCACTGGAAATGCAAAAATGGTAATGACTAGGGAGAGGCAGAGGGAGAGATATAAATAAAAGATCTAAATTACTCATGTTACACGTGCTTCCCAGGTCCATGCTCAGACACCTCTGTCTCTCCAGAAGCCAGGTAAGTTCTCTCTTCAGCTCCCACTGAAGACTTTTTGTGTTTTGAGAATGTTTGTTGACTTGAAAGAAGAACTTTTATAGTGGATAATTTTCCTTGGGGTGGTTTTATTTACTTCAGTGCCTACATAGCCACGAAACAGTATCTTCTTCAGGTTGTTTGACAGCAAGTTAATTCATTGTATTTCTGGGTTAACCTGCAAGGAATCCCTGTGAGGAAATTCAGGGGTGAAATGGAAGTTTGAACAGCAGATGGAAGATGTCTTAGCTAGCAGGATGGGTCCTTGATCGCAAAGAACCCCCCAAAGTCTGTAGACTGTCAAAAAAATTATTCTGCCTTAATCTCATTCTTGTTTTAGATTTTTTTCTTAAAGCCTTTATTAACTAATTATTAACATCTCTAGGTAGCTGGAGATGAAGAAAATATAAAGTGTAGTTTATTTGTGGTAAATATTAATTGTTCTTAAAGTTTGTTTGATGAGATAAAAGTAATGTGAACTTACTGAAAAAAATGTAAAACAAACAAAAATTATAAAAAGGAAACTCTTTCACTTCCACTTAATAATCCATGACATCACCGTTGAGGAAAAATTGAGCCCAGAATCAAGTTTTCATTCAGTTAGGCGTTGGGGTTTAAGAGAGTGAATGCATCCTACCATCTCTGCACAGGATTTTGCATCAATTGAGAAAATATTAGAGAAGGATATACTCTTGGCTTTATTGTTGTTATGGTTGGACCTGAGAACACAGCTTGGATCAGAGGCCATGGGTTTCCTCTGGCTTCCCCTTGCCTGGTCATGGGTGCAGCATCTGGGCAGGCCAGATGAGGAGGGCAGGCGCTGGGCCTGCGGGGAGCTTACCTCAGGGAGGAGGCGGAGGGCAGGCAGATGCAGGCAGGTTCTGACAGAGAAGAGAGAGTCAAACCAAGGCACTGAGCTCCCTGGGGGAAATGAGAACCGAGAAGCACCAGATGGTGCCCAGCTGATGCACATCTCCAGTCAAGAGAAGGCTAAGGGGTGAGAAGCAGGCCACAGGGGCTTTTCCATCTTTTTTTCTTTAAAGAAAACACTGTATTGGGGTATAATTGATATGCATAAAACTTACATATTTAATGTATACAATTTAATCACTGTGATCAAGACCATAAACATATATATCATCTTCAAAAGGGTTTGTAGCTATTATCGTTCTCAGAGGAAGTACTGTCTGAAATACTCTCTGAGAGTTCTGTAGCTCAAATCCAGGCCTATCTCAGTATGTGAATTTAATTTGTTTATTGAAATATTCCATAACCCCTCTTTTTCTGGATCAATGCAGGAAGAGAAGCAAGAAGGGTTCCCATGATCTAAAGCAATTCCAACAAGCGCTCATTTGATTTTTCTTTAAAAAAATTGTTTTTCAGTTAAACTTCACATTCAGTATTATTTTGTATTAGTTTTGATTGTTGTTGCTATTCTAGATCTCACTAGGATCATCATGGAATCACTTGACGCAGTGACCTTTGGGTTTAATCTTTTCAAAGAGCTGAATAGAAAAAACAATGGCAACATCTTCTTTTCCCCTGCGAGCATCTTAGCGGCTGTCGGCATGCTCCTCCTGCGGACCCGGGGAGCCACTGCCACCCGGCTGCAGAAGGTAGGTAGGATGGCAGCCATGGCTTTTCTGGCAGACTCTTTTCTGGGATGAGCCTTCGAAAATTGCCTTGAACACATGATCTTTTTGACCCATGGGCCAGGAAACAAAGAAAGCGTGTGAGGACATGAAGTAGTTTTAGGTTTATCTCTTCCCTCTCCAGATTCCACCCTGCCATCTGCTCCCTGGTGCTTGAAATTCCTCCAGGTGAGGGCTGGGAGAGGCCCTGTCCAAAGACATTAACCTGATAAAGACAGAACCATAATCCCCACTGGGGTATAAGCGACACATCAAAGATGAATATGTGTATGGGTGAACCAATTTAAGCTCCTCTGAAGATAGCCAGAGCTTTTCATGATTTGGCAAGGAGACAAACCTTCCTGTGTGACACTGAGGAGTCTTTAGCAAATGTCCACTTCCCCTGACTGATTCTGTGTGGGGCTTTCTCTGCTCTGATCCTCACCATGATATTTTCTGTCTTTTCCAGGTGCCTCTCTCTGAAAAAGACACAGATAGCTCGAGAATCAAAGCTGAAGAAAAAGAGGTGGGAGACATGTCTTACCAACTTCACTAAGGTGGCTTAGATGTGGGCTCACTGGGGAAATGCGTAGAGGAGGTACTACTTCATGCTTTTTTAAAAAAATCTTTATTGTTTAAAGTATTACATATGTCCCCATTTTCCCCCAATTGATCCCTTCTAGCCCACACCCACCCTCAGCCTAGGCCTTCACCACCCTATTGTCTGTGTTCATAGGTTATGCATGTATGCATACAAGTTCTTTGGTTGATCTCTTCCTTTCCACTCACTCACCCCCGCCTCCCCTCTGAGATTCGACAGTCTGTTCCATACTTCTGTAGGCAGTAATAATCACAGCAGTGCAATAATGTTACTAGGGTTATACAATTATAATCAACCATTAGTGTTAAGAGGAGAGCTTAACTTGAATGCACACTAACCACTATGATAGAACCTGGGAAAGGCTAACAGACTGAGAAGTCCCTATGAAGAGTGGATGGGTTTGGAGTGAAACAGATTTGGGTTCAAATCCTGGCCCAGTCAGTTAACAGCTGTGCTACTTTGAGCAAGTTATTCATCTTCTTTGGGCCTTTATAAATATAGTAGACTGTCTGGCACACTGGTGACTTGCCTAGTGGTGGTCATGGTAGTAGTAAGTGATATTATTACTACACTGTATTTTTATTTTAAGTCCCTTCATTGCCTGCTCTGATGTTTTATTAAAAAAACTAGAGGCCAGGTGCATGGAATTAATGCACAGGGGTGTGTGTGTGGGGTGGGGGGAGGGGGCCTCAGCCCGGCCTGCACCCTCTCCAATCTGGGACCCCTCGGACATCCCTCTCGCAATCCGGGATCGCTGGCTCCTAACACTCACCTGCCTGACTGCCTGATCACCTCTAACCACTCTGCCTGCCTGCCTGATAACCCCTAATCACCTCTGCCTGCCTGCTGGCCTGATCACCTCTAACTGCTCCCCTGCAGGCCTGATTGCCCCTAACTGCTCCCTGCCTGCCTGATTGCCCTTAACTGCCTCTGCCTGTCAGCCTGATCACCCCTAACCACCTCTGCCTGATGGCCTGGTTGCCCCTAACCACCCTCCCCTGCCAGCCTGGCTGCCCCTAATTGCCCTCCCCTGTTGGCCTGATTGGCCCTAACTGCCTCTGCCTCGGCCCCCACCACCATGGCTTTGTCCAGAAGGACGTCCAGATGGATGTCTGGAAGAGATGTGGTCTAATTAGCATATTACTCTTGTATTAGTATAGATATTAGCACAGGATTAATGTCTTCTTGGGGTCTCTTTCAGCTGTAGGGTTGTAATATTCCTCCCCTGCAATACAGAGTATGCAAACATAGGAGGGATATTAAGTCCATAGTTTGGGGTTGGCATTTAGAGCACTCAGGAAGGGCATATCTGCCTTGACAGTAGTCATAGCTCAGACCCTCATAAAATCAGGGGTCAAGTCACCCAGCAAATGTACAACTCATTTTACATCCCACATGTCCAGTTGTCTGGTTCATGTGTATATAGAGAGTCAAGCTTCATTCCAGGTTTTGTACAACAGAGTTGGGGCAGATAACTGCTCTGCTGTCTACTCAGTCAAGAAACACAGTTGTTTGATAGTACTTTCCCTCTCAAATAGAATCTTTGTGTGAATTGAAAAAAAAAAAAGAACAGAGATACTAGAAAATTTAAGATAGTATGTGGTTCAGATTTGTGGTTCTCATTTCATTTCTATGAGACCGTGCCAGTTTATAGCCTATATTTGGGAGGTAGGGTGGGTGCATATTCCACTTTATTAAGTATTACCTAATGTTGCCTGGCCGGTGTGGCTCAGTGGAGGCCAGGAGGTCATGGTTCAATTCCCAGACTGGGCACATGCTGGGGTTAGGGGATGGATCCCCAGTAGGGGGCGTACAGGAGGCAGCTCCATCAATAATTCTCTCTCAACATTGATGTTTCTATTTCTTTCTCCCTCTCCCTTCCTCTCTGAAATCAATAATACACACACACACACACACACACACACACACACACACATATACTAGAGGCTCAGTGCTTACCTAATGTTTGCCTAATGTTTGGGTCTTTATAAATATAGTAGGATAATAACATCATCTATTCCACTCAGCAGTGTATATAGGCCTATGCCATATAGTTGTAAAGAGATAATCGGAGCTGAGATGCCACCAGCTTTACAATCCTCAGCCACCCATTTTCATCCATCTATCCTTCCATACACATATACATATGTTTATTTTTTTTTTACCATTTCTATTGGTAATCAATTATTTTTTCTCTCTGTTAACAGAGTGAATTACATTAATAGAATATCTGATGTTAAGTCATTTTTGCATTTGTGGGATAATCATCTTTGGTTTGCTTATATTTTGTTAGGCGTTTTTAAAAAATTATGATATAAACATGATCAATCTGTAATATTTTGCTTTATCCTGTCCTTTTCTAGTTTTGATATCAAAGTTTCACTAGTCTAATAGGTGCAAAATGTTTTCTCTATTTTTTTATTCTCTGAAAGAGTTTGTATAAATTCAGAAAGACACCTAATATTCTGTTCAGAATTTGGATTTACAACTGCCTGGGACTGGTGATTGATTGATTGATTGATTGGTAATGGTTGTGACTTCTTTAGATACTTCATATGAGTGGAAGCATACTAGTACAGTATCTGTTTGTGTGTGTGAGTGTGTGTGTGTGTGCGTGCACACTCAAATGGCTTATTTTGTTTACATATGTCTTTGAGATTTATCCATGTTGACACATATGACAATATTTCCTTCTTTTTTAAAGGCTGCGTGATATTCCTTTGTATTTATATACCACAATTACTTTATCCATTCATCTGTTGATGGGCATTTGGGCTGCTTCTACCACTTGGCTATTGTGAATAGTACTGAAAATATATTTCTATTGATTTCAGAGAGGAAGGGAGAGGGAGAGAGAGATAGAAACATCAATGATGAGACAATCATTGATGGGTTACCTCTTGCATGCCCCCAACTGGGGCTCGATCCCACAACCTGGGCATGTACCCTGATTGGGGAATTGAACTGTGACATTTTGATTCATAGGTCGATACTCAACCACTGAGCCACAATGGCTGGGCTCACTGTGGTTTTGATAGTTGCATTCTCCTTATGATTAGTGGTGTTGGGCATCTTTTCAGATGCTGTTGGCCATTTGTATGTTTTCTTTGGGGAAGTGTCCAGTCAAGTTCTTTGCCCATATTTTTCATTGGGATACTTTTGCTGTTGAGTTGTAGAAGTTCATTATATAGTCTGGATATTAACCCCTCATCAAATATATAATTTGCAAGTATTTCCTCTCATTATGCAGTTGCCTTTTCACTCTGTTGATTGTTTGATAAGCAGAAGTTTTTTAAGTTTGATTTAATTCCATTTGTCTGTTTTTGTCCTTGTTTCCTGTGTTTTTGATGACATGCTCAAGAAATCATTACCAAATCCAGTGTCCTAAAGTTTTCCTCTTATGTCTTCTTCTAGTAGTTTTATAGTTGTAGGTATTATTGCAAGTCATTAACCTATGTTGAGTCATTTTTTTGTGTGTATATGGTGTAGGGTAAGGATCCAACTTCATGCTTTTGCAAGTAGATATTCAGGTTTCCCAGCACCTTGTTTTGAATAGGCTGTACTTTTCTCATTGTGTGGTCTTGGCAACCTTGTTGAAAATTATTTGGCCATTTAAGCAAGGGTTTATTTCTGGACTATCTATTATTTCTGTTGGTTCATATATCTTATATATCTTTCTTTATGCCAGTACACACCATTTGGCTTACTGATGCTTTGTAGTATATTTTAAAATAATGAAGTGTGAAGCCTCCAAGTTTGCTCTTTATTTTCTAGGTTGCTCTGGTTACTCAGGGTTCCCTGAGATTCCTTATGAATTTTAGTTTTTTTTTCTTATTAAAAAAAGTTACTGGGATTTTGATAGGGATTGTATTGAATCTATACATCACTTTAGGTAATAGAAATATTTCAATTATATTACATCCTCCAATCATTAGCATGGAATGTCTTTCCCTTTATTTGTATTTTCTTTAATCTTTTGAAGCAATATTTTGTCTTTCAGTGAACAAGTCTTTTACCTTCTTAGTTATGTAATTTATCCTTTTTGATATTACAGTATATGGGATTATTTTCTTAATTACTTTTTGCATTGGTCAATTTTATTGTATAGATATATAACTGATTTTTGAATGTAGATTTTGTGTTCTGCAATTTGCTGAATTAACTTATTAGTTATCACATTTTTTTGTGGAATATTTCAGACTTTCTACATGTAGAAATTTATCTATTTCTTCTAAGCTATTCATTACTTTGATATAGATACTTGTGCATAGTAGTTCCTTATAGTCCTTTTAATTTCCAGACATTTCTAATTTTACTTATTGGAGTCTTCTGTTATTTTCTTAGTCTAGCTAAGGGTTTGTCAATTTTGTTGATCTTCTTAAAAAAACCCATGACTCTCTTGCTTTTGTTTATTTTTCTTTTGTTTTTCTACTGTCTATTTTGTTTATTTCTGCTTTAAATGTAACTCTAACTTTTGGTTTAGTTTGTTCTTTTCTTAGTCCCTTGAGATGTAAAGTTAAGTTGTTGATTTAATTTGTTTCTTTGATTGGGTCATGTTTCCTTGTTTCTTTGCATGCTTGTTATCTTTGTTATCTTCTGTTGGGATTTTGGCATTTGGAAACCCAGTCATACAGGAAAAAAATTTTTATATACATACATTATGAGAGGGAAGGAGAGGGAGAGATAGAAATATCAATGATGAGAATCATTGATTGGCTACCTCCTACACACCCCACTTTGGGGATCTAGTTCACAACCCGGGCATGTGCCATGACGGGGAATTGAACTGTGAATTCCTGATTCATAGGTCGAGACACTCAACCATTGAGCCACACCAGCAAGGCAGGAAAAACTCTTTTAGACCAGGCTAACTAGAGATTCTGGACACTTCTAAAGCCTTTCCTGGGGCTGCATTCTCTCTGGGAAGGTGTTTGTGATGACCCAATTGAAGTTTGCCTGTTTCTATTCAGGAGCTCTCCCTGGTGTCTATCTGTGGTACTGCAGAATTTGGTGACTGTTAATTGCCTTTGTTCTTAGTGGCTATCCTGGTGCCCTATTCCTATCAGCACTTATGTTCAGGCAAGACAGAAACCAAGCCCTCAGGCAGCTTCTGGAAAGATCAGAATGTTAGTTATACGTCGCACTCTTCAGTTTCTCTCCCAGGGAGCTATGATTTTTTTTTTAAAACTAGGCTTCAATGCAGTTGGGTTCATGCTCAGTGGGATACAGAAACCTCTTAACTGATTTCTGATTCCGTAACAAAAGTATTTGTTTCCTGTATTGTTGTTAAGTCAGAATCTCTAGTTCGGGGCTTTTTATTCTTAATCTTGATGACATCACTCCAGGGAAGTTTCTTTAGTAAAGATTTGCGTGTAGTAGATGCTATCAGGTTGCATTGACCTTTGTTTGCTCTTGAATGAATGTTAAACTATGTGTTGCATTCTAGGTTGAGATTTTTTCTCAACTCTTTGAAGATAGCATTCTTCTCTCCTTGTCTAATGTTGCTGTTAAGAAGTTGGTTTATTTGAAAATCTTTAGTAGGTGATCTCTCTCTGGCTGCATTTAAGTTTTGCTGTCTGTTTTTGTTGTTTCTGAATTTTACTGCAATGTGTCTAGATGTGGAGTTATTAATTTACCAAGACATATTTACTGTGCTTTCTCAATATGAAAATTCATAGTTTTTATCAGTTCTGAAAAAGTCTCAGTCAATTAATATTTTGAATAATGCATGTACTCCAGTCTTGATTGTCTTTTGGAAGGATGCTAGAATTTGTATTCTATCTTCTAGATTTCTTTAATTGTCATACATATTTTCTTATTTATTTATTTATTTATTTTAATCCTCACCTGAAAATATCCTGGGGATCGGGCCTAAACCAACATATTTTCATCACTTTTTGTCTTTATGTTTCATTATGAGAAAATTATTCAGATCTATCAAGTCTATCAATTTAGCAGTGCCTAATTGGCTGTTAAACCCATCTATTGAGCTTTTAAATTTTAATGCTTATTGAACATATAGGAATTCTAGTTGATTATAAAATGAACCTGGAACTTGATATCAGTCTCTTGTTTCTCAACCATATTTTCAATATCTTTTTTCAAAGTACTGCTTTTTAAGTGTGATATCTGATAATATCAACACCTAAACTCCTTGAGAATCCAATATGGTTGTTCCCTCCCCCCCCCACTCCCCCTCCCCATCAATTCTTGATGTGGGACTTACTTTCTCATGACTTATAGTTTTGGAATATGAGTGAATATTTGGTTGGTAATCTATGGTTGTCCAGCAAAACCTAAGGTGTAGTTACCTTTCTAATAGAGGTATTTTTTTTTTCTGGAATAAGATCCTGAGATGTTATCAACCCAGGGCCACTTTAAGTTAATTTCTTAGTCTGGAGTTTCCCCATCCACAGAGATAGTATAATTTCAAACCTCAAACCTGTTTGACAGTAGGCCCTTACTCTCTTTCTCCATTTTTCAGGTCAACTTAGTCACAACTGTCCCACTAGAGGAATATTCCCACTACATCCTTCTCTTTATAGCAATCCATTATTCCCCATAGGTTCAATACCTTGATCTGCTCACATCACATATCAGTCAACCTGAGCAGCCATGAATGATCGATGGACATTTAAAGGTTCACAGTAACAAGGAGGGAGCCAAAGGTCAAATTCAGCCTAAGATACTCTGTTAGAGCAGCATGTATTTCCATCTGAATGTCTTCAAATGTTCATTAGTTCATTAGCATAAAAATTAACTGAGTGTCTTTTAAGTGCCAGATACTACTCTGGGCAATGAGTAGTCAGTCATGAAATAAAAAGATGAAGCAAGCAAATAAACAGAAGACCCATGGGCTTTATATTCTAGAGGAAGAAGGCCTTTCTGTTCTCAGTGCAATCAGGGATAAGCATTTCCGTTTAAAATGTAAATGACTCTCCCTCGAATCCAGCGTGAATGGTGGATAGAGGTAGCCAGACATCACTTAATAGGCAGGGGACAGTGTTCCTCTCTGTTTTCGGGACATAAGCTCTGTCATCTGGCCCTGCCATGAAGCACTCACTTCTCAGCCTTCAATCAGAAAATGGATGGATTCTACAAAAAATGTCTAGAAAAGTTTTGTACCTCCCCCCCCACTCCCAGAGATAAGAAAAAAATACCAGTTCAGTCCAGTATATAACTAACAAAGGACTGCTGACACCATCAGGATTTACTTTTTTTTATCCATTGTCTGGAACAGATGTGGCCAAGTTTAAGTGGATAAGAGTCATCTGAGGAATCATTTACTTCCCCCAGTTGCTTACTATTGTGGGAAGCTCAAAGCAAGCATATGAACCACTTAGTGGGCAATTACATTTGAGATGAAAAATGCAACCTGAGCCAGAAAAGCTAGATCTGTGGTATTGGGCCAAAGAGCAAGCTTCTTTGTGGAGCTGAGATTGGTTGTGACTTACATTAGTGATTTGTGTAAAAGCCAGCTGACATCCAGGGGCCACACCGAATTCCGGGGCCGTCCTCAAGGCTGCCACGCTGAGGGAGAGATCCAGCAGCCATGTCTTCCTGGGGCAGAGTCCAGGCTTGCTTTTGCTAAGGTAACTCATTGAGTTTTTGTTTTGTTTTGAAGATTGAGAAGACCAAAGAGATACACCATCAATTCCAAACATTTTTGAGTGAAATAAGCAAACCCAATAATAATTATGAGCTGAAAATAGCCAACAGGCTATTTGGAGAGAAGACATACCTTTTCCTTCAAGTAAGTTTTGCTGTGTCCACCACTTCCGTGAGTGGTGTTCATGAATGGCCAGTGGCTCTGTTAGGACTGTGGGTCCTGGTGGCATGCTGCCTACATTGACTGCCTGGCTTGGCCCAGATCACCTGGCACCGCCCCCCCCACCCCCCCGCCTGTTTTTCAGGCATCCTGGCCCCTTGAGAGCTCCTTTGTAATCTTGGCAGTTTAAATCTGATTTTTGCTTTAACCCTATTACACCTGCATAAAAGGTGCATGGAAGTACTCAAAGTGATTTGCCCCAAACCCTGCTTAGAATATTAGTGATCTTGAACTTATTTAGAGATGTTGGCAATAGATAAATTGAATTTCAACTTCTTTCTATTCCTTCCCTGTTTCTCCTAAAGAAATACTTAGATTATGTTGAAAAATATTATCATGCTTCTCTGGAACCTGTTGATTTTGTAAATGCAGCAGATGAAAGTCGAAAGAAGATTAATTCCTGGGTTGAAAGCCAAACACATGGTAGAGTATGGATGGGTCGTTCATCATAAAAACGCTTCTTGAGTGCCCACTGTGAGTGAAGCCCTGTGGTTGGCACTGCGTGGGGGACCAGGGTGGACAAGTTTTGGGAGGGGACTGGGTATGGCTTTACAGGGCTGGAAAGGCAGGCCTGAGCATGAGGGGTGGGAGGAGGCACTGCAAATTGTAGAGAAAGCCAAGGAGAACCAGAGGGGATCATAGAGCCAACTTCATGGAAACACTTAGTGGGGAATTATTTACACCTGGTTGTGGTTCATAATATCTTTGAGGGTCCTGAAACTGGGCCATGCCTGTCTTGGGTTCACATTCTTTCCTTTATATCAGAGCCTTTCTGAGTCTGGGTCTTTGAGTGGAAATATAGGGGGTTTCCTTTCTCATTATCAAGTGAGAAACATTTCAGCTCTTCCATCAAGACCTGCTTTTGTGTCCAGCCATGTGGCTCAGTTGGTTGGAGCATCATCCCATCAGTGGTTTAAGGTTTGATTACTGTTCAGGGCACGTATCTAGTTTGTGGGTTCAATTCCCGGTTGGGGCACATACAGGAGGCAACAGATTGATGCCTCTCTCTCTCTCCCTTCTTTTCTGTCTAAAATCAGTAAATATATCCTCTGGTGGTAACTATATCAAGTGGGTAAAAATAATAATAGCTAACATTTACTGAGTTCTTATTGTGAGCCAGACAGTGATCTAAGTGATGTGCACACATTAGATCATTTACTCTTTTCAATAACCCTATGAAACAGTTTCATTCTTGTTTTACTCATTTGGAAACTGAGGCACAGAGAGCTTAAATAACTTGCCCGTAATTCCTTAACTGGTAAGAGGCAAAACTGGATGCTTACAGAGGCAATCTGATCCCAGAGCCTAAACTCGTTAACCCTCACACCTCAATCCATCCAATGGGATAAATAGGCGGGGACAGTGAGAACTTCCAGTGAACCCCTTGTCTGCAGAGCCTGCAGGTGCTGACCAGGCTGAGGTTTTCATTGTTTGTTTTTGTTAATCCTCACCAGAGGACATTTTTTCCATTGATTTTTCTAGGGAGAGTAGAAATGAGGGGAAAGACAGAGTGAGAGAAACATCAAAGTGAGAGAGACACATTGATTAGTTGCCTCTGGCATGTGCCCTGAGGGGGAGAGGAATGGGGATTGAGCCTGCAACTGAGGTATGTGCCCTTGACCTGGAATTGAACCCGAGACCCTTCAGTGCACCGATATGAGCTGATGCTCTAACCACTGAGTCAAACTAGTTAGGGCCTGGCTGAGGTTTTTAATGACCAGTCAAGTCCCCCTGCATCGTATCTGCCATGCATAATATCACTAATAATTTCAAAGATGGGCCAAGTTTGTTGTTTCTTGTTTGCAGAAAACATCAAGGACCTATTTCCTGATGCCACTCTAAGCAGCACCACGAAGCTGGTGCTGGTGAACATTGTGCATTTTAAAGGGCAATGGGACAGGGAGTTTAAGAAAGAACATACCAAGGAGGAGGAATTTTGGCTGGATAAGGTATGGTTCTTTAACTATTGATGTGCTTACACATGGAATGTACATTCTGAAGTCATATTTCCATCAACGTATACAGGGTGGACAGACAATGCTGATTTGGAGGGTCTGAGCGTTAGTACTGTTTTAGGTGGAGAGCATCATTTCGGTGAGCTCGCCTGGTCGTCTAATGCCTCTTTGGACACTGGGTGCTCTGTGAATTTGTTACAGAACACAAGTAAACCTGTGCAGATGATGACACAGCGTGACTCCTTCAGCTTCACTCTCCTGAAGGACCTGCAGGCCCAAATTCTGGGGATCCCATATAAAAACAGTGACCTAAGCATGTTCGTGTTGCTGCCCAATGACATCGATGGTCTGGAGAAGGTAAAACCTTGCACCTCCCATTCTTGCTTTCATTTCTGGGGGCTCTGCATCTCAGAGCTTACTCTTGGTGAGCCTGGAAGCGGGGCTTCTGATTGGGGGCTGGTGTCTGGCGGTGCCCAGTGGGAACTATTTCTGCCTCTATGCAGGATGTCTAATGTGGAGCAATAGATGACATCAGGTGTATTGAGAATGGCCAACACTAAAATATTTGGGAATGAGCTAAAATAAACATTTAAGGGACTGTAAAGGTCACCCAGTATTCTGAGAAATGGTTGATTATGTAGTCACGTCTTTTCCAGAAAAAAAATCACATGTGCACATATCCAGCAAGATTTGCATGCCATTCAGACCTTCTGAATTTTTTTTAAGACCTCCAATTTTTAAAGAAGTTTTAGGTTTACAACAAACTGAGAAAAAGTTACACACACCTCCTGTCCCACACATGCGTACCTCCCACATAATCAACACCACTTATCAGGAAAAAAATGGTTCTTTTTTTTTTTAACCAAGGATGATCTTATATACAGTAATCACCCAAAGTCTATCAGACCCTTAATCTTGAACTCCTTGATGTATTCCTACTCACTTTGCTGTTAAAATATTGATGTGGCTAGTATCCTGTGTTTTTGAAATCAGAAAGGCTTTGCTTCAAATCCCTATATCTCTATTTAGTAGCATTATGTCCTTTGAAGCTATTTAACTTCCTTGAACCTCAATATTTTTCCATCTATAAAATGGGCTTCATAGTTTTTAATATGTAGTATTGTAATGATTAGTGACCATACTCTATCTTTGTCTTTATCTCTGTCTCTGTCTCTATCTCTATCTCTAACAAGCACAGAAAAGCAAGTGAATCAATGGCTAATAATATTTATTATACATTGGAAATTATTTGGGACAGGAAAATGGCAATATATTTAAGAGCTTTAAGAATTTTGTTACTCTAACTCAAAAATTCCAGTTGTGGAAATTATTCTAGGGAAATAATTCAGAAGAAAAAAATTGCCCTTCTGAGTCAAATTTGTAATTTCTGCATTAAATACATTAGGATACCTAACTTGAAATTCATAATAATAATTATATTTGTATCTGCAGAATCCATCATCTGTTAAAATGCATGATTACATACTAGTTACTTATAAAGTGAATGAATAGGTTAATGTTGGGTAAAATGTACCAATTTGATGAAAATATCTATCAGCTTGAAGATATGTTGATGAGTTATACAGTATAAAATGGACATTCACTGTGACTGAATTAATATTTATATGTAAATATGTTAATATGTATTATATATTTATAATAAACATTATATTAGTCACCAATTAATATATTATATAAATTATAATTTGCTTATTATATAAACATATTTTATCTTTAAAATTATATGTAATATATATGTATACAAAGACACTAGGGAAATAGTAAGAAATTGCATTTCTCATCTTTAAAAATTCACAAAATGCTATTGACTTTTCATATATGCACAGAAAATTTCAATAGATAAATATAAGACAAGTGCCTGCTATGTGAAGACAACAGTCTAGCAAAATGAAATTTCTACTTTTGTTACTAAAATTAATGATTTCTGACCGATACAAATGAGTGTTAAACTGTTTCAAATAATAAACTGATTATTATTGATAATCATGCCATTCTCCCCCCCCCCTTTTTTTCCTTAATAGATTATAAATGAAGTAAGTCCTGAGAAATTAGTAGAGTGGACTAACCCAGGGCAGATGAAGGAAAGGACTGTGGATTTGCACTTGCCCCGATTTGAGGTGGAAGATAGTTATGATCTGGAGGCGGCGCTGGGCGCCATGGGGCTGGGGGATGCCTTCAGTGAGCTGGAGGCTGACTATTCAGGGATGTCCCCACGTTCAGGGCTGCATGCCCAGAAGTTTCTGCACGGGTCCTTTGTGGTGGTGACTGAGGAAGGCACCGAAGCTGCGGCAGGCACCGGGATGGGCTTTGCGGTCACATCAGTGCCCAGTTATGAAACTTTTCACTGCAATCATCCCTTCCTGTTCTTCATCCGGCACAACGAGTCCAACAGTGTCCTCTTCTTCGGCAAATTTTCCTCTCCTTAGGCCAGTCACTGGCTTGGCAGAAAAACAGGAAAAACAGTGTTGGAGTATTAATATGACTGTGGTAACTGTGGTAGTAGCCCATTCTTTGAAGAAATTTGATTTTCTTGCTTGCATTTCAATCCAACCCTCAAACTGTTTGATTTAGTGACTGCACTGGGTGTGTGTGTTTATAATTTTCTTTAAAAGTGAAATGTCCTTTTGTTTGTGTCATGTTTAAAGTGAGTTAAATCAAGGCTTATAAATATGCTGTTGATTTCTTCTAAAAGTAAATTAACAACTTGTAGTTTTATGCACTAATGAAAAAAAAACTGTCTTGTCAGTAAAGACTATGGATTAATGATTTTGGGAGTCCCTCCAGCTCTAATATTTTGAAAGACTATAATAAAAAGTGAAATAAAACAGTAGTTTACTCAATTCATGTGCTACCTTTCTCTTTCTCAGCTATTAGTGTGGCAAACTGAATATAGGAAAAAAGAATTTGGAAACACATCAGCCAACATAAATTAAAACTCAAAAGCCAGGATAAAGTGAAACAATATACCAGGCAGAGAGGATGCCCATATTTTCACCCTCTATTCTAACAGAGCATATTATTCATTGTCAATTGCATAAATATCTTGATATTGTAAATAAAGTCAATGTGGTCATAAAATAAGATAGATTCATTTTAATCCTAGAACTTGACTTTTGATAAAGTATGTACACCTGTGCAAATACCACCACACCCAACATACAGGATATTTCCATCATTCCCCAGGTTCCCTTGTTCTGTTTCCCTGTCAACCACCCCATACAGCCTCAGCTCACACAACTGCTGGCCTGCCTGTCTTCAATCATTACAGGGTGTATTCATCATTTCTAGGGTTTCATTCAAATGGACTCATATCATATGTTCTCTTTTGTGTCTGGCTTCTTTTGCTGAGTACTGAGATAATCCATGTTGGAATACCAGTAGTTGATTACTTCTTATGGACAAACAGTGTTCCATTGTATAGGTAAACCCACATTTTGTTTACCTATTTACCCACTGGGCATTTATGCTGCTTCCAGTATTTAGCTACTCTGCATAATGCTAGGATGCACATTTGTGTGCATAAATCTTTGTGTGGACATATGCTTTCATTTTTTTGGGTAGACACCTGTGAGTGAAAATGCTGAGACATATGGTATATACAATATATGTTTAAATTTATAAGAAACTGCCAAAATATTCTCCAAAGTGGTTGTACCATTTTCCACTCTTACGAGCAATGTTTGAGTGTTCCTGTTGCTCTGGATCCTCACCAGTGGTTGGAGTGTCAGAGTTCTTCATTATACCCATTCTAGTGGGTGTGAAGGTGGCATCTCATTGTGGTTTTAATTTATGCATTTCCCTTATGACTGATGATGTTGAGAATCTTTTCATGTGCATGTTGGCCATATGCATATCTTCTTTTGTAAAATGTCTATTCAATTTTGTACCCATTTTTATTAAATTGTTTTCTTATTATTGACTTGTAATTGCTTTGGATATATTCTGAAACAATCTGTCAGCTATATGAATTTAATTTTGCTGTCATTGATGGTGTCATTGAGCAATTTAAAATTTTCATGGAGTCCAATTCATTAATTTTTTTCACTTATGGTTTCTGTTTTTCTGTCTTATTTAAGATATTTTTGCAAATCTCAAGTTTGCTGAGACTTTTTTCTATGCTTTCCTTTGCACTCTTATGGCTTTAGCTTTTACATTTAGACCTATGATTTACTTTCAATTTTTGTGAAGTAAGGCTTGGGGCTCATTGTTTCTCATGTGGTCTTCCAGTTGTTCCAGCACCATTTATTGAAAAGATTGTCCTTACCTCAATGACTTAATCACCCTGGAAACTTTATGTCATATGCGTGCGTGGATTTGTTTCTGATCCTCTGTTCTTCTACTGATCTAAATGTTTATCATCTGTCAATATCTCCCCATCCCTGAACACATTCTTTCCTGAGATTTGATTTGTCTAAAAATATAACCACTCAGGCTTCCATATGACTAGTATTGGCATGGTATGCTTTTTTCTATCCTTCCATTTTAATTTAGATGTATCCTTATACTTAAAGGGAGTTTTAATTTTTAAGTGAAATTGATTTGGGTGACATTGGGTAATAAGATTGTATAGATTTCAAGTGTAAAATTTTATGATAGATCATCTGAATATTGCATTAAAAACAGACATCATATAGTGACATGTTGTGATCATCCCATGGAGATAGAATGGAGTCTCCTTATTCCCACACAAAAAAATTGGTTGAACATTGAGACGGATGATACCACACATGCACCAAGAAAGTATGAAGAGATTGATTACTTACGTAATGAGGCTTTCTGGGGAGAGCATTGCAGGGTCCCTGGCTTAGGAGACCCAGGAGGGCTTTTATTGGGTTAGGATTTGGGTATGGGTGAGGGTTCCTGTGCCTGGTTAAGATGTGATTGCTTGGTTTGCACCTCCTGCAGGTGCCAAGGGAGGGAGCTCAAGGGCTTTCTTGCCAGCTGTCCTAAAGAGGCTCTCTTGAACACCCTAGAACCTGTGTGGTGAAGACTGGGTATAAATTCCCTCTGTATCTGAGGCTCCCAGGGGTTCTATACCCTGGCGCTACCCAGACTTAGCCTTCAGCACTTGTCTGGAGCCCTGTTTCCCTCCCATGTTCTGCCCTAGAACCTTGAGGGTAGAGGAAGTGTTGGCATCCTGTCTCTTCTTGAAGGCACTTGTCTTTCCTTAGATTTCAGGCTGGAGGGCGGCCTTACAACTTTCTGATGGGCTTAAGAATTTGTGTATTATCCAGATTTTTATTCCCCCCACCCCCTGTCATGGTGGAGCAGCAATCTTTCCAGCTTTCTCCATCACAGCAGAAACTGGAAGACTGTGATTATGGGTGAATCATGTCCTCTGGGTTCCTGAGTCAGGTCAGGCCCAGGAAGCTTTCTGCTGCTAACCCAGAGTGCCTGCCCATGCCAATTATTTAAAGATAAATGTTGCTATTTTCTGTATTGAGGGAGAGGCTCTTTCCTGTGAGAAATGGATTTTCGCTGAGACTCTGAAATCTGCTGCTCCTGAGCCCTCTTACCAATGCCTTTGCTTTTCTCTTTACTTCCTCCAGGACCTCCTGCTCAACCTCAGCTCTTTTCACCTTTGGCAGTTGTCGGGGAGGAACAAATCTTCCTCTACCCTCAAGGTTCTTATAGCTGGTCTAATAATCAAATAGACATGAGGTAGATTAGCAAACAACCAAATCTGATACATACATACCTATCGGATCCCTTTATATGCCAGTCAGAGACCCTGCATGCAGGAGAGATTCAGAGACAGAAAGGGAACATGAGTGTATAAGACATACTGAGCAAGGGTTGAGGTGGGGTGACTTGGGGGCTTTAAAGAGTCGTTGCAGAATGATAAGAACAGATGCTTAGTAAATAAAAAAATCGTCCTGTTCTTCAGACAGGTCAAAGATACTAACTCTGATAATTTCCCTTTATGGGCAAGGCTTCTAATTCAAATTCTTCTAGGTAGTCAAGGGAGGGCAGAAGTTTCTCCTGACGCTGCAGTTACAGTTGCCCTTAGCTCATAATAATCCACATATTACAGAAGCACATTTTTGAGTGACTATCGCTGAACCCCCACACAGTTTTTATATGAATTATGAGGCCATGAATTATACCTACCTTCTAACTTTACTGAGAAAGAAATTTATAGAGACTTCTTCTTCTTCTTCTTCTTCTTCTTCTTCTTCTTCTTCTTCTTCTTCTTCTTCTTTTTTGTAGTGGAAGAAAGAAGAAAGATACAAATATACAGAGCCATTCTGATGCTGGAAATCTCATTTAATTTTTTTTCTTTTCCTTCATTGAAGGAGCAGGTTTTTCATGTACAACTTGATTTGTGAACTTAGGCAACAGGAAGGAGTTCCCAGGTATTAGTAGACATAATTTATAGTATGATTCCTTTTATGAACCAATACATTGACATCCTGAATTTGAAATATGTAAATTAGACACTTCTGGGTTTGTGGCATTTTCTGCCCCTCCCAAACTATCCCACCAAATGCAGTCCTCCCAGAGTGAGATTTGTTCATACTTCTAACTATTGTATCTATATTTTCTGTCTCACCAGTCATTGCAGTCATCTTTGGACACTCAGCATCTAGATCAATGTCTGGAAATGCAAGTGCTCAAAAATCTGACTAATTTAATGTTCCTGCACATTATAGGCAATGTCCTATCCACCAACTTATTGGAGGAGCAAGGAGTCAGCAGCTAACAACAAGTTATCAATGAAGAATATAAAAGTGGAAATGTTTAATGCCCACATATCTGTTAGGCATGAACTTCAGTGTAGTCAGTACTGGGCTTGTTGATGACAGTCAAGGGTGAGTGTGTCTCAGAATGGATACCCCTAGGCCTGTGTTGTCAATGCTCTGGGAGGATAACAGATGGGTGTCTGAGTGGCAATGTGATATGTAACATTAACTTCATCAGCCCAAGCTGGGAAGGAAGCAAAGTGAAGAGTGACAGGTCTGGCCTTAACCAGTTTGGCTCAGTGGATAGAGCAAACTGGCCCTTGGACTGAAGGGTCCTGGGTTAGATTCTGGTCAAGAGCACACACCTCGGTTGTGGGTTTGATCCCCAGTGGGGACTTGCAGGAGGCAGCTGATCCATGATTCTCTCTCATCATTGATGTTTCTATCTCTCTCTCCCTCTTCCTTCCTCTCT